AAAAAAAGTTGTTATATGGATTTGAATGATTGTTTTGAATTCTTAGAATTTTGTGCATTTGCAATGTACCTAAGTTAGTAGCGAGCGAAGCGAGCTTGGTTTGCGAAGCAAACCATATAAGATTGCATAGCAATTTTCGGGGGTTGGCGAGCGTTAGCGAGCAGGGGGCGCAGCTCACTACTTGTTTATAATACTAATAGATAGTAATTTTTGGATGTGGGAAGTAGAGGTACAAGCTTAAGCAAGCAGAATTCCTTTTAGTATATTTTTGATATATACTAGTATATATTGAATAATTTTAACTTTGGTAGAAAAACTGTTTTCTGTCAAGAAGAGACAATTATTGCGAAGCAAACATCGGGGTTGGTGAGCGGTAGCGAACAGGGGGCTTAGCCCCCTTGTATTTACATATATAGCATGATGTTAAAATTAAGTAATAAAGCACGGGCATTTTACAGAAAAGCATTTAAATTTAAAAGCTTACGGAAAATTTATGTAAAATTGGTAGAAAAAATCTTATTTTATTTACTAAATTTTGAGTTCTGTGATTTAAACTTTCTCTTTAGAATTAAAATTTATTTTCATAAATAATGATAATTATGAATATAAATATTTTTTACACACATTTTATAAGCGAGATAAAACAGTGTATAACAGTGCGAGATAAAACAGTGAAACAACACAGCAAGATTTTCACTTATTTTATTTTTATTGTTGTTTACCTATAAAAAGTCAGTTATGTGAAATATATCCGTGTTATTTGAATAAATTGTGATAGCATAATGTAAAATTTTTATTATTTAATTTTTCACAAATAATTTTGGGATTGACTTTTTATCATTATTTTCTCTCATTATTTATTTTTATGGAATAGAGAGTTCAATACAATTAGCGAAATTTACAACAATTATCGACAATTTATAAAACATTTAAGAATTTATATGCACAGAAAATATGCTCTGTTCACATTAGTATTGATTGATTCCACAATAAAACATTATGTTTACACAAGGCCCCTTTTTTCTACAACCTACAGACATTATTAAAATATCAAAAATATTAAAACTTCTTTTGGGTTTCAAAAATCATTCCTTAAAGGGTCTTTTATCTCAAAATTAGTAAGAAATTACGTTAATTTTTATAGGATATCGGTTTTTGCGAACAGTTTCTAAGTACAAGTCGATATAGTTTTCTGAACTGATCGAAAATTATTTTTTTATTTTAAAGTACAATGCAAATTTATAGTCACAACTTAAAACCTAAATAGTAATCTTATAAACATGTCTTTAAAATGCATAGTGAGTATTATAGAAAAATTTTAAATTTATTATAATTTATTGCTTCTTCTCCTTACGCTTTTTTCTATTTTAACAAATTTATCCTTTACCCCATTATTTCATTGTCATATTACCCATTATCACACTACCCATTACTAAATTATCCATTTATCCATTAACATTTTACCCACTTTATCCTACGAGATCCTTTTACATGTCTTCCAATGAAATAAATTTCTTTCCGGATTAATTTTTGCAATATTTAATTAGATGTATATTAATGCATACTGTATAAGTTTAAAAATCATCAATGTTTTATCAAATATTGAATCTATGATGTAGTTTGTTGTTTAATAATAGTTAACCATTTCGTTTTTGTAGAGGCTCCTGGTAGTCCTTTCCCTTTCATGGACCTTCCTGACACTCCTGGTAATCTATATACATAAAAATGTTTGTTTTTATGTATGTCTGTGCGTCCTTTATAGGCACCTGAACCATCTAACTGAAAGGAAAGAAGTTTGGCATACAGATAAGTCGAGCATGAGAAAGTCCACTGTTGTATTTAAACTTTCAATAACAAACCTTTCATTCGCGATAATCCAAAAACGAAGTGGTATTTTCCGATTGATTAAGCGTTATTCATTGGTTTAATTTAAACTATAGACGATTAAATTTTCCAAGTAATTTAAATATAAGATCAGTAACATTTGCTACTTTATAGCTCTAATTAATTAAGTAAAAAGTTTATTGCACGTACTTTAATATTCAATTTTTTTTTGTTGGCTGTGTCAAATAAATTCAATAAACTTTAACATGGCAGCATTTGGGGACTGCGTCATCTGAATAATATTTTTTTTACTTCAATTATAATTATAAAGTTATGTGATGACATGTGTTAATTTTGTGCATAATATTTTTTTAAAACGTGTTTCTATGAAAGTAAATGATTTGAAACCCATGCTAATTGAAATTAAATAAAACGGTAGCTATAAAGTCAAGGACAAAATTAATGGAGAAAGGATACTATTTCGCTCGGTATGTATTTAGTGATTATTAAAACTGCTTCAATACTAATCAGTTTTAATATTAATGCTGTTTAAATAACTGTTCTACTGTCACTTGAATGGGATATGTACCGGAAAAAATTATTTGATAGTGAAAACTAATGTAATTTTATCTATCATGAGTTAGCCATTAGGATTATCACGTAAAGTACAGCTCATCTCTATATGAAGAGATGATCTATATGAAGAGAGAGATAAAAATGTTTAAATGCTTCTTAAAAATATACATTAAATTAATGAACGAGTAACTTATTACATTTTTTCTTTCACAAAGAGCTTTAGAATTTCTTTCACTGTAACGAGCTGTTATACGTATTGCTCCATCGTAAAAATTTTCAGATATTCTCAAACATAACAATGGTACTTTTACTTAGTATTATATAAAATTCCAATAAACATAATTATTACCATATATAATTTTAATTAGAATAGCTATTACCACATGTATATATAATTTAAACATTACCATATTTAATTTGACTTAACAACATTGATAAATTTTTTTATTTAGGCTCTGGGAAAAGAAAAGAATCATTATTCTTTCAGCAGGCTTATTTTTGAGACAAAAGTCATATTTATTCTTTTCATAGTTATCATTTTCATGTAAAATTAAAGTTTTTGCCTCCCTCAGAATAATAAAGCCTGCTGACTAACAGAAGCTTACATTTTTCATATTTAGGAAAACGTTGATTGTCTTTCCACACTAATGAAAACAGTTTTCAAAAGAAAGAGATAAAATATATATATAAAAAAAATCCTTTTTAGATTTTTTTTTCTCTACATTAAAATTAAACTCAAAATTTTTATTACAGGGAATAACTAGAAAAAAGAAAATTACTTTCCAAGTTCCATGCTTACAACTGAGAGAGGTTCAATCAGGAACAATTAATCAATGTCTTTATGAATAGTTAAACATCTTTTTCAATAATGTTTATTATTTTAAAATGACATTAAAGTAATATATGTATTAAAATGCTTAATGTCTTATTTTTTACTTAAGCGTCTTTCCAAAATATGAGAAGGTTTACATAGATGTCAAAGATAACCAAGCCATGTCAAGCCAGCCTATTACTCCCAAGTATACACTTACATAGTAAATGTTAGTAACAGCAGGTATAAATTTAGTTAGATATTTTTTCTCAAGACGTTACAATAGTTAGTTACGATATTTATTCTCAAAAGACATTCAAAACATAGTAAGACATTATATTTGTTTTAATTCGAAGGATATATTAGTTTTGCTTAACTATTGGGATGTTTCCACTTTATTTAAAATATATATTTTCCTTAGAATTAAGTCTAAGCTCGAGTCAATTTCAAAATCCATTTATAGTCCTGCATATTGTTATACATTTACAGACATATACATGATTTGGCGAGTGTGAGTAAGAAACTGAATTACAACAATCGGTTAGACATAGAAAGAGGTAAAACATTTATCGAAAATTAAAGTAAAATTGAAATTAATGATAAAGGCCTAAAGCTCAAAATAGGGAGTTTGTTAAGTATCTAAAATTTAAAAAGCAGAAATATAGTTTTAGTCTTTTGGTGCAGATGAGACAGTCTCCCTGCACTCAAGCAATGACAATAAGTCACCCCACCATAATTCCGCGAGTACAAATCTTGAGAAGTTAGCGGGAAGAGGGAAATTCAAACTGAAGGTGATTTTAGCTGTTCGTTCATTATCATCAAACACAGATATAAGTTCAGTATTGCTTGCTATAACAATTAGTAATCATTTGTTTAGCCTTTGGACACATGCAAATGTTTTTTTTACTGACCTTTGAATCATAACTCATTGACGTCTTCGGCTTAAGGGAGTTGAAAAACTAACTCCTACTCCTACAAATAGTTGAAGACAAATCAAATGTTATAGTATTGCAAAAGCAGCTGAATCCAACTTTAAATACCCGAAGAGTCACTTTTAACAGTGATATTTCCCTTTAACTATTCTAACAGTGATCTTCCCTTTAACTATTTCTATGATTATTTATTTTAATAATCAATGTTAACGCATGAAGTTTTGATACAGTATATCTTGTAAAATCTAAGCATTGCTGTAAACCTTACATTTTTGAGACTCAATGGTTAAATATTTATGTAAATAATAGAAGCAGTCATAAAAAAATACATATTAATAGGATGAATTTCTTTTCGAAAACTTTTTGATTAAGAAAAATATAATGAACATATTTAGTGAGAATATGATTAAAAGAAATATTGATATAATTTTTAAAGTATTGGATATACATTGTGCCGATTTAAGCCTAACAACGGGTCATGCCTATAAACTTCTAAATTTTTGCCTTCATAAGCATATCATAAGCATTCATAAGCATATTATTCATAACATATTATTTTCGATCAAAATGAGGAAGAAAATATGATTTTTTGTAAACTAAATTTCAAAATCACCCATTTTAAAACTCTTTTATTCCAGCATAAAGTTCCCATTTACTTCCCGTACTTTTTTATTAGTTAAAAAACTCATATGAAAAGAACGGTTCAGAACTTTGTTTTCCTCAAAAAATGATTTTGTGAATATATGGCCTATTAGAAATTATATGCATAGCATTTTGGTTATTATTTCTCATTTTGAGATTGGTTTACTATAATCACTGACTCAATGTGCTTTTTTTAAAAATTAAAATTATGTCTTCTTATTTTATCTTTAGAGAATTGTGCATTTTAAAAGTAGAATATATGCATTTAAATATGATCCAGTAAAATTTTTGCTCTACTTGGATTTTAACTAAGATGCGAAGAATATTGAAGGAAAATATTAAAAGCTAAAATAGTTAAAGTGAAAAAAGTTATGATGTGTTTGTTACTCTGAATAAATGAAAGTTATGTTGCATCTTATGCTGTATTTCTCTGAATAAATGAACAGTTTTCAATATTTAACCAATAGATTATTGGGTATTATGGGTATCCGCAATATGAATAATGTTGCATCGAGAGTTTCAGCTGAAGATCTGTAATGTTTGTGCCCTTAACTTAAATTTCGTTTCCAGAGTATTTAGCTTTAACTACGACAGTTTCAAAACAAACAGGAAATTAAGAATCCAAAAAATTATAGAATCTTAAAAGCGAATCTTTTCACTACTTAAAATTACGTAACGTTAATTTCTTAAAACGACAATATACAAAATACATACAGAGAAATTGGTTGAATAGTTTCTGAGTTATACAATTTCAATAATGCGATATTTTTGATGTTCTATTTTCCCACATTCTTAACCAAATTTTGTATTTCTTTTTTTTTAAATTATGGTTTAAAATGACGTAAGACTTGTATACCTTACAATTCAAAATTTTAATCCTTCTTAAATTTACTAATAAAAAAACTATACTTTTTTTTACATCTTAGGATAAATAAGAATTATAATCTTGTACAAAAGAGTTTAAAGCTCTGTAAATATTCGAGTTCCAGAGTAAAAGTTGTTCAGGTGTATATCTTTTTTTTTAGAGTCCATTAATGGTAATCATTAATGGTCATTGGCAATGGTTAAGGTATTTTACATCCTTAAAAGTATTTAATGAAGGTTAAAATATTTAACAAGAATCCCTTCCAGTTTACCCTAGCATTTGAGATAAAATAATACGTTTAGAGTGGTTACTTCTCGTATTTGTTTAGACAATATCTTTAACTTTATTTTAAAACTACAGTGTTTATAACAAATGTTTTCGGTGCTGTTTTTACAGCTTAAGATTTAGTTAAAAATTTCTAGCTACTTCGATATTGAATTGAATAATGTTGGTTCAGGAAAAGTCCGGATTTAATTACTGTAAAATGGTACTTTTTATAGTAAAATCCATTTTTACAGGAACATGTTACAGAAAACAAATTCGGAAATACAGAAATATTTACACTAATAACTATCATAAAATCACTGTAGCACTCTAATTAGATAATCATTACTGTAAAAATTTCTACAATATAGTATTTCACGATCAAATTGGATTGTACGGCAAAATGGATTTAGTAGATCATGTACCCAAAGTTACGGTACATTATACAGCAATTTGGTTCGACATTTTTACAATGTATAGTAAATGCTTTTTTCTGTTCTTCGTTAAATAATTGGGAATTGGATGTTACAAATTGATAGCAAAAAATTTGATATAATCACTTGAATTCCAAGAGAAAAAATTATTCTAGCACAATTGAAATACTAACATGGTAAAAACATTTCTTGCAAAAAAATAAATAAAAGCGTTTTAAAAACTTGAAATATTTATATTTACCTTAAAATGCATATCACATATAGGTAAAAAACTACCGTAAATTTCTTAATATATATATAATTTTTCAATTCAGAACAAACAGACAGAAAAGCTTGAGACAAATAAAAACAATTAGAAAATGTCCATAAATCACTATTTGCCTTTGCTATTATTCTTACGCAATGAAGAGAAGTAAATTAAAGATGCTATCACCAAAGCAAACAATTATGCCCTCTGAAAGTTTTAGGTATGTATTTAAGGATGTCACGAAAATAATTTTCCTATTTTAGTGTTTAGGTAGAAGCTGCATTGGATAGCTGCGTTTCCTGTGTTTTCTGTTTGAAGCAATGTCATTATATCAGCTTATTCTAGCCTGTAGCATCTTGGGAGGTAATATTTCTTAAAAACAATGAAACAGTGACAGCTTATATAATAGGTTGTAATCATTACCTAATGAAAATGATGATATTTTTCTACAAATAATAATAAAAATGTTTTAATTCACTCTTTTGTAATCTAACCTAATTTTTATATTTTACAGTTGGAGTATTTCCAATACGTAAGTTGAAAACAACTGTTACAAAATTTTTATTTATGAGATTCAAACTTTAAAAAACTAAAACAAAAGTAAAGATATTATTTTAAGATACTTTCTTATATTATACATGAGGCTTTGTAATCTTTACTCAGAAAATTTAAATTTCTTGAATTCATATCAAAATTTAATAAAGATTTTAAAAATTAATTAGGGATCGCAGTTTTGATGTGATGTGTGGAACTCAAGTGTTGAAAGAGTTATTTTCAATGATTAACTTAACGGGAGTTTTTTTTTTTTTTTTGAAATTCCATTTTGTTCGAAAATTATTTTAATATTAAGAGTTTTTTATCGTGAAATTTTTTCACTTATTCTGTTTTAAATAATGATTAATTATGATTAATTATGATTAATTACGATTAATTACGAATAATTATGATTAATTATGATTAATTACGAATAATTATGATTAATTATGATTATATTACGATTAATTATGATTTATGACTAGTTATGATTAAAATATGATTGTGGTCGAAACATATATCTGTCGAGATCATTCTTTTATAAGCTCGTACTTGACTTGATACCAAAAGTTACAAAAAATGGACACATAAAACTAAAAGTATAAGTCACAAACTTTATATAGACATTTTTTCGAAATTAAAAATATCTAAATTGAGATAAAAATCGTTTGCTTCTTGAGATGTTGTACTGTATAAGATTATCGTTATGAATTGTTGACTATTAAAATTCCTTTTTCGTGTGTCGTACTACCTTAATTCTTACGTTTAATTATTTTTTAAAACAATAGATTTCCTTCCAAATAAAAGTAATCGTTTATTTTTTACTATTAACCTAATAACACGATGTTCCTCATAAAATTTTATCAATTATATGTTTAATACACAAAATTCTATTTTTTAAAGTGTCGAATTAGTGAAAAATGCCGGAGGCCTTTGAGTGGAACCTCCTAATCTTATTGTTGTCGTTGCCAATTGCCAATATTAGCAAACCTGCTTGGTGAAACCAAGCATATTTAAGCCAGAGTTGTTGTTAATTTACGTCGCACTAGAGCTGCACAATGGGCTATTGGCGACGGTCTGGGAAACATCCCGGAGGATGATCCGAAGACATGCCATCACAATTTTGATCCTCTGCGGAGGGGATGGCACCCCCGCTTCGGTAGCCCGACGACCTGCGCGCGAAGTCGAGCACAATATTTAAGCCAGAGAGAGCGTTTCATGTTTTTCAGTGGCGCTATCTACGGTTGAGAATGCGTCATACATTTGACCACACACACACGTCACAATCCGTTTATAGGGTTGACCCATTTATACATTCATTCCTCTATAGATCGTAATTTTGACATGTACTAGAGAACGATAAATCTCCAAATCTGTACTTAAAGAGCTATAACTTGTTATGGGAGGACTTTATGACCCGACAGATCTAACGCCCACCAGTAACCATTTACTACACGGAGAATCTTAGGCCAGTGGGAATTGAACTTACGACCTCATAGATAAGGACCCAGTGCCCAACCAACCAGGCTATCCCGGCCCTTTTAATTAAAAAAAAATATTTTTGATTTTTATCATTTGAATCTGTATTTTATTGTTCTCATGAAACTACTTACTTTGTAGAATAGTTAATTTCATATGCTTTTAGCCATACCTCAATTTTATGGTAAGAAATAGCTTTTTTTATTGATTTCCATTCTGATCCGATGTATACAGACTATAAAACTGTTTTCGTGAGTTTCTGAGTCAATGCTTGATTCTTATCGTTATTATAGTTTCAATGTATGATTGTACAAACATTTATTTTTAAAAAGTTCTAATTTTGAAAGGATTTATAGAATGTGAATTCTGATTTGTTATTTTTTTTATTCTGTTTTCATTTTTTAATGTAACGACCTAAATTTCAAACAACTGAACTGATGATGAAAATGAAAATAATTAAAATTAAAAATGAAGTTAAAAACAATTTTATTTCCATTTCAGCTGCCAAGAAACTTTATTAGTTACATAAAAACTTATAACGTGTAATATGAGAATTATATCAAAATTAAAACATGCTTTGAAATTACTAAAAAATAATTGCTGAATTTGTTTTAACAGAGTTTATGAGTTTTCAGCAAATTCAGCCTTGCTTTATCAGCAAATATTCCCGGAACTTAAATTTTTTATTTTTGAGGTAAAGTCAATTATTGAAGCTAAAAAATAAATGTCAGTGCAAAATTTTTAAAAATTTGCATTAGTACTACGAAGTAAAATAATTTAATAAATTTTTGATTAATAGCACAGCTCTATTTAAACTTTTTTAATGCTAATAACTCAATTTTAAATCTTGAGAAAAACGAATTATATTAGCCTTAAAAGGTAATATTTATTACGGGTGAGCATACATGTCTTCATATAAATATTAAAATTAAAATCTTTCAATAAAATTAGAGATATTAACTGATGCTTGTGTATACTTGATTGCATATTTTGTCATTTCTACTTAATATCTTAATCAGATACTGATAATTTCTACTCAGCATCTTAAGTTTAATGTCTGCATAAGGAGTACAGTCCGCAAAATAAAAAGATATCACCCTGAATAACTTTTGTTCTAATGATCGGATTTTCACGATCTAAGTGTCGATGTTAATGGTTCCCGGGGGTGACCTCAA